AAACAATAAAGAATAAACATCTTGTGCATGATGTGCATATTCATGGAAACGAGGGATAGGAATACCTGATAGATCATCATCTCCATTTCACTGCTACTGCTAGATCTTTGGAAACTTCTCCCACTCTCGATAGGGATTCCCACTGGGTTACATCTTTGGCCCTCTGCTGTCTCACTATGCCCTATCCCTCGGGACTCCATCTGATTGCACTTCTAGGTTAATACCGCACAAATCTGTTGTTCCAACCCCAACCTCTTCCCTTTGGGCCACTCTTGTATCACTGATTGCGTCTCTGACATCCTTCCATCAACTGAAATCTAACGTGGCTAAAACTGAATGTCCCAAATATTCCCACTCCTTCCTTTTGCTGTCAGAAGCAAAGGATCCGAAACATGATCCTGCATTCATTCTAAATACAGTTCTCGGTATAAGCAGGAGGCAACAAATACATTAGCTTGGGGCAGGTCAAACAACGGACTAAGAACAATGTTCCCTCTTCCCCAAAAAGACAACCCTGTCCGATGAGATGCGAGGGTCTAGGTGGAGAAAGAAAAAGGCTGATCACAGGAGCATTCCCCACTTTGCATGACTGGTGTGCAGTCAGCCAGGCATGGACAATGCAGCACATTGGTGCAGAACCAGACACCAGACAGAGAGAGACTCTGCAAAGGGAAAAGTCAGACACTGGAACTCTCCTTCTTCAAGCGTGCAAGGGAAGGGAGAGAGAAATGCAGCTTCCACCCCCTCCTAGAGAAAGTGATACTCCTGAGCTTGCCAGATCAGTAGCACCTGGATTAGCTGCTGCCAGAAAAACAGTCCTTTGAAAAGCCACGGGTTCCAGGAGAAGGGCGTATTTAAGGGAAAGGATTCTGTGCCTTTATAGAACAAGCTGTCTGAACATCAAAACATAGGATCCTATCTGTCTGGGTCTTTTGCTTCATAGTTTTTGTGGAAAGCAGAAGACTGCAGATTTTGACTTCACAGTGGTTTTGCAACATGGCAAACTTATTATTGTTAATAATAATGGTATTTTTTCCCAGTGCACCACACTTCACAAAACACCTGTCGCGTGTGCAGAGCAAGTCTGCTACTGAACATGTCATTGTCAGCCTCATGGGCCATAGCCCCTGGCATTTTGTCTTTGTGGCCCTTAGTTGTGCCTGCTAATGTGAGTGCCCAACCTCTCGTTGTGCACAACCCATTCGCTGGGCTCCTCTGGAGTAGCTGGGTGCCTGCACCAACAGTGCACATGTAAAACAAGTTTAGCATCTACTTTGTGGGCCAATCAAACTTGAGCATGCAGAAACAGATGCCAGCTTAACAATGGCTGAAATTTTGACCCAATGTATTCAGGAGGCAAAAGGTATTGGCCAATGTTGGCTTTTAAAAGGACAAGGTCAACGTGAATTTTTTTTTAATTTGCTACTTTAAAAAAAGCAACCCTTTTTCTGAGATCCCCTTTAAACAGCATGCCTTGAATTTTTAACTAGGAATTTTCTTTTTACTAAAATTGTATACCTTTTTCCTCCTTTTTGTTGACGTTTAGAACAGTGTTGCCAACTCTCATGATTTTGTCATACGTCTCATGATAATTATTGTTTTCCTTAAAGCCCCAGCTCCTGGAGTCAAGTGGATATGTGATGATTTCAGCCTTCATGCTTAAAGAAAAAGTAAGTTTCTTGCCCTCGTGACTGTGGAGAAAGCTTCAAAATGTGACCCCAGTGCACTAAACCCCGAACCTAAAGACTCAAAAAGTAGAAGGCAAATAAAAAGAACCCCAAATCTATTGTTTTTTTACACAATCTCATGATTTTAAAGCCAATCTCGTGATTTTTGGTGAGCCTGACTCATGATTTTTGAACGTTTGGCAATACTGAGAAAAGTCTTTTGGCCCCAGAATATTTTGAACTCCAGAAACTTGCTCAGGCCCAACCCCTCCCCTTCTGTTCTGTGCACACAGAACAGTTGTAGCTTTGCTGCTACTGATCCTGATGGACACCCTTTCAGAGTTGGAACACTGTGATCATAGTGTCTAGTACCACTTTGGAGACTAACTGCCTGGCTAGTTTTCTCTTTGCAACATACTAATTAGGCAAAAAGGGTTTTCAAGTACATTGCAACTGGATTACTGGGTAGGAAACATTTGAATCTTGCTAGAAAAGCGTGTTGTGCTTTTGCAGGAAGTTTCCTGCATTTCAGTGGTTTGTTCTCAGCTGTAATGGCCTGAAGATAAGAGTGAGGCTGGTCCCAGATGACGGCATGTCAGCCAGAAACCCACGCCAGCAAGCAGTGCTAATGAACGCCTGTCAAAAGTCTGGGGAGGCAGAATGGAGGAGGTACTTCCAGAGAATAGTCAAGAACAAATCATGTTTGCAGTGTTGTAGCCATGTTGGTCCCAGGATATTAGAGAGACAAGGAGAGAGAGACAAGTTTTCAAGTTTACGCAGAACTCTTCCTCAGGTCTGGGAAGTGTACTCAGAGTGTCACAGCTAAATGCAAGGTGGAGCAGATTGTTTAGCATGCGTTGTTAACATATATTTCAAGGGATCATTCAAGGTGAAGTGGCCCATTAACACCTCTCTAGTCATAGGGGGAAAAGGAAAGTCTGTCTCTCTCGCCAACAGAAGTTGGTCCAATAAAAGATTTAAAATTTTTATTAAAGTTATTACATCACCCACTTTATCTCTCAAGAACAAATCAAGCCAAACCAATCTAATTTCCTTCGTTGACAGGGTTACTCTCCTAGTGGATAGGGGGCAAAGCTGTTAGTAAGGCTTTGACACAGATCCACATGCCATTCTCATAAGCAAACGAGGGAATTGTGGTCTAGAGGAAATTTCTATAAGGTGAGTGCAAAAACTGGTTGAAAGACTGTACTCAAAGAGTAGTTATTAACTGTTCACTGTCAAACTGAGGGGGAGGGGGAGGCATATCTAGTGGAGTCCTGCAGGGGTCTGTCCTGGGTCTGGTACTAGTCAATATTGTCATTAGTAACTGGGATAATGGTGTGGAGAGTATGCTTATAACATTTGCAGATGACACCAAGCTGGGAGGGTTTGCCAGCACTTTGGAGGACAGAATTAGAATTTAAAATGACCTTGAAGAATTGGAGAATTGGTCTGAAATCAATAAGCTGAAATGCACTAAAGACAAGTGCAAAGTACTACACTCGGGAAGGAACCATCACATGCACAGCTACCAAATGGGGAATAACTGGCTAAGTGGTAGTACTGTAGAAAAGGATTTGGGGACTATAGTGAATCACAAATTGGATGAGAGTCAACAGTGTGATGCAATTGCGAAAAAGGCTAGTATCCTGGGGTATATTAACAGGAGCGCTGTCTGCACGGGTGAAAGTAAGGTGGTACGGGCCGGTACGATGTACCGGTAAAAAGTAGCCATCAGTATCGGCCCATACCGCTGACTTTCAAGTGCTGCCGTGGCAGCGCTTGAATGTCGTTGCCCCTTTTGTGCCCCCCCAGCCGCCAATGGAGGGGGGGGGAAAGAAATAGCTGCCCCTGGGATGCGATTTAAAAGGGCCCAGGGCTCCGGCCGCCGCTGCCACTGGAGCCCCGGGTGGCGCGGGCCAGGCAGCGCAGATGGGCTGGCTGGGGGACACTGACCCCAGCCCCGCCCCTTCTGCCTGAGGCCCCACCCCTTCTGGGGGGGCCAGAGCTGGCCCCGTACCAATAAGAGCTCAATTTTACTTTCACCTCTGTCTGTATGTAGCCCACCGGAGGTAATTGCCCCACTTTATTTGGCACTGGTGAGACCTCAGCAGGAGTACTGTGTCCCGTTCTGGGCAGCACACTAAGAAACAGGTGTACAAATTGCAGAGAGTCCAGAGGGGAGCAACAAAAATGCTAAAAGGTTTAGAAAACCTGACCTATGAGGAAAGGTTAAAAAAACTGGGCATGTTTAGTCTTGAGAAAAAAAAGACAGGGGGGGGGACCTGCTAACTGCCTCCAAATATGTTAAGGGCTGCTATAAAGAGGATGGTGATCAATTGTTCTCCATGTCCACTGAAGGTAGAACAAGAAGAAATGGGATTAATCAGCAGCAATGGAGATTTAGGTTAAATATTGGGGAAAACTCTCTAACTCTAAGGATAGTTAGGCACTGGAACAGGCTTCCAGGGAGGTTGTGGAATCCCCATCACTGGAAGTTTTTAAGACCAAGTTAGACAAACACCTGTTGTCAGGGATGGTTCTAGGTATATTTGGTCCTGCCTCAGCACAGGTGGCTGCACTAGAAGACCTCTCCAGATCCCTTCCAGCCCTGAATTTCGATGATTCTGTACGAGGAGGCAGACCTGAGAATGAATTCTCTCTTGAACTACTTGCTCCATGACAGGAACGACCTCTTTACATGTATATACATAGTACCTTTTATGTATGGATCTCAAGACACTTTACAAAATTGTTCATTAGCTAAATGTCACAAAACCCTTGTACATATTATCCTCACTTTACAGTGGATGCATAAAACGAGTCACAGAAAGATGAAGTGACTTACCCTAGATCACTCACACACCAAGCCAGTGGTTGAGTTGGGCGTAGAACCCAGGAATTCTGACTCCCAGTTCCCCTGCTCTAAGCAGTGCACCATGCTACTTTCCTTTTGGTATTTCATGCTAGCACTTCTATGCACATTTATATGGGTTTTGCACTTGCAACCACATTCTCCTGTTAAGTTTCCCTTCTCCAGCCTCTCCCAGTGCAGAGCACCTCCTTGGGCTGTGGCTTTGGCATTACAAATTTATTTTTCAATGTTATAGTGTGCCCTTATCTGTATGTCTCATGTTGCAGCAAATAGGTGGTAAAAATTTAACACAGCCTAGCAAGCTTAAACAAGCCCTCTTACAAACAGAAAAAGTGTAGGATCCAAATACTGATCATTCTCAAAGGACACACTGGACTTAGAGAACTCACACCATTACATACGCCTGCCTCCCGCTAGTTCACATGCAATGCCCCCCCCCGCCCCAGCTAGGTACTCACATCATACTTCTCTGCCAGTTTCAGATGGAGAGCACGTTTCCAGAGATTCTTTGCAAAGCCCGATTCTGGGAGTAAGATTGAGACACATAAGGCTGCAGCAAAGATCTTTTTGCAGAAATGCAGCTTGGGCACCAGGCGATTGCTGCTGGAGTCCATGCTCCTGATGAGAAATAAAAAAATACGGATCCCAGCTTTCAAGGAGCCAGACGAATCAGAGGGAGGGAGAAAGCTGACTGCTGAAGCAACTCGGCTCTTTACTGGGCAGCTTCTGGGAGGCAAAAAAACAAACAAACAAAAAAAGTTTGGGAGCCCAGAATCAGGAGCCAGGAGTTGCTGTTGAACTTTCTTGTTCAAAGATAGATCAGGTTCTCCCATCTCGTGTTCCCACGAGGCACATATTCCCCTTGAATGATCACTGGACAGATTATTTTTAGACCTTTGTTCACAACATCTGGCTCTCTCAGGGCGCTCCATTCAAAGCCAAAGCATGGGATCAAATGGCAGCTGCTACAGGGGGAAAGAAAGGTCTTGGAGGAGTGCCCCGAGCAGTTTCTAGCTGCAAACTTTCCAAGAAAACAAGTACTCTCATTGTGTACCCTCCCCCCCCCACCCCCCCAAGTAGATGCCCTGATTTGTGGGGTTGTACCCTATTTCTACAAGGTGATTTACTCTCTGAGGGAGGCTTCGTTTCCAGAAGGAAATTATTTAAAAACACGATAAACAAACGGATGTGGTCATTAAAACAAGTTGACTTTAGCTTTCATTTGAAGGTTGATTTAAATTAGGGGAAGAGGGGGCCACTGGGGGAAGAGGAACCTGCAAGCGCTGGGAACGAGTTGGAAATGCTGTGCCCGGGGAAAGGAGTTGATTTAAGGAATATGGTAGGGGTCGGCAACGTTTGGCATGCGGCTTGCCAGGGTAAGC